TGCCTATCTGTTGTATGAATTCAGTGCCTTTATTTTGAACAATTTGGCCATGCATATGTTTGATCCACTGAAGAACCAGTTCAGATTAAACAAAACAATTATTACTTCAATCACCAACTCTTCAACATGATTCATCCAGGGTTGTTGAAAAAAGCCTAAATGTGTTAGATCTGGGGAAACTGTTTTATTTTTTATTTAAAGTAGAAAATATATTTCTATATCCTTAATCAATGAACTGGAAATTGTTGCAGTATAAATTTCAGATATGTACTGAATAAACTGCATATGAAATAAAAATAGTCTATACATCTGTTTATAATTTCTTTGAACATCTTTAACTTAAAGTGAGTTTCTAAGCTAATGCATTTGCTTAGAATGTTTGATGTTTGACTTACAATTTTTAAAATGTGACTCCTTATTATAAACTATTCTAGAGGGAGCTGTTCTCACAGTTTAAATAGAAAATAAAAATTACATTTCTGAGAAGGTTACTTTTTCCTTTACTTCATGATATAACTGCAAGTTTACACATTAAAATTCTGATCAATGGGACATGGAGACACATAAACCAAAGTTCCTTGCACAGAAGACAAGGCAGAATTTATTTTATGTAATTTAGAATGCAACCTAAACAGGACTTTCAAATTTATTTATAGCTAACTACAATGTAACTCATACTTTATTTTTTCTTTCTTGAACATTTTAAAATTCTACATAAAGGATTAAACCATACTTCTGTCCAGTATTTCTCCAGATAATCATAGGGTTTTCGAAGAATGTAAAAAGAACCTGTGTGATTTACTCCTACCTACTATTGTTTGAACAAATGTTATACCCTACTTGAATCCACTAGGGCTTAATAGTAACAGTTTTTAATCACTCTTATTGTTGGAATAATTATCAAGAAATAAACCTGTGGTTTCCAGAATTTAAGATATAATAATTTATTCTAATAGTAAAGTAAAATATGATGTGGTATTAGATCTTTCTCCAATTAAACAAAATACTTTTATATTGGAATTATTGGGAATAGATCCCATTGTCTTTATGAAAAATCATAGAAAAAGAACTGCAGAGAATAGTTGCTGGATAGTTAGTGGACTTAAAGTATTGCTAAAAAAAATCTTTTCAAATCTTTCCAATAGCCAGTTAAGACACTTTGTATATTTGTTTTTATATTTTTCACCACTGTTCCTTGCAGAACTCTTCTAGCTCAGAAATATTCTTAGTTCCCCTTGCGCACACTGCTGTTTGAGATTTCAGAGATAATATTCAAGTCTGGGGAATGGGAAGTCTACTCCAAAACCTTTATTTTTCTTCCCTAAATGTTTAATGGTTGATTTGGAGGTATCTTTCAGATCAGCATTGTGGTGAAGCATCCAAACGTCCAACTCATTTCAGCTTCATTTTCTTCACTTACTGTAAAACATCCTTCACGGAACAAGTAGTAGGATGTATATAGTTTGAAAGAGAAGTACTTTTATGTAGTACTGAATCTTTTTCATACAGATTTAGACTATGCCAAACATACTTAAGTCAATACACTCTTGAAATAACCCAAATAACTCTTCAGCCCTGCTATAACATTAAATCAGAACCAAACTAGATCAAAATACTTTTTGCATTTGTTTATTTAAAAAAAATAAATTCCATCTTTCAATAGGTGAGTATTCAAGTCACCTAATAAAGTATAGAAACTAAAAAGCAGATACAAAAAGTTAAAAATACAGGTCAAAATTAACACTATAATAGGTACTAACATATTTTAATAATTACAGCCTGGCGAAAGAGAGAAGTCTTGACAGATTTCCTAAATATTGAGAGATTTAAGGCCAAATTCAACTCCCAGAGCAGGACGTTCTATTAGCTGGGCGCAAAGCAGGTTCTCTTTGGTGTGCCAGAAAGTCAGGCATCGGCATCAGGGACATATTCTAAAAGCTTCTCTGGCAAATAAGAACATCTGGCACAGCTTTGTAATCCCTCAGATCAAAGTTTTCAAAGTTATGGCCCTTGTGCAGATTCCACATCATTTTCTGTGGCAAACAACAGTATTTTGCAGGTAGGCAAAATGCCCAGGAAGCCAGGACACTGAGTGCAGCATTGGAAAAAGTATCAGTGGCCTCACAATCCACCAGTGAACCTGATAGGTCTTCCATCGCTGTGATTTTGAGGTTTCTCATGTTGAGGAATCTCTCATTCTGGGAACCTCCACCCAATCTCTCATTCCATGGCAGGTACTGTTTCTGATGCAGCTCTTTGGCAGGCAGTCAATAATGGGCCAGGGAAGATGTATGCTGGAAACATTGGCTGCCCAAAGTAGGAAGGAAGCTTGGATGCCACTTGACCAGAATCTGCTATGATGAATGAGTCAATGACTTATGCTGTAATGTGGGAATCTTTTGTTCCCCATAGTTTTGTTCCGGTATTTGTCTGGCTTTAGTTTAAATTAGTTTATTAGGCGCTTGAATGCTTACCATGTTTATTTGATCATTGATAATGGCATTTTATAATAATAATAATAATAATAACAACAACAACAACAACAACAACTTTATTGTCACTTTGAAAGTACACCAATTGGCATACATCAAAATGAAATTTCATTGCATACAGCTCTCAAAGGGCCACCACCTCCGATATACACTCCTTGTTCGTGGCCAGCTCAAGTTACAGATCTTCCATTTTAGTCTCTAGGGAGCGAACGATGGCAAACAGGATAGATGGAAATGGAGCTCCATTTTAATTTCTTTGTTTGTTATTCTTTGTTATTTCATTGTAACTTACCCTAAATCAATCAGAACTGGGATGGGTTAGAAACATTCCATAATAAATAGATTTATAAATAATAAACCAAACGTTGATGTTCTAAGTAATGACCAAGTTTGGCTATTATAAGTAACCAAAATGAAATTGCTGTTTTGTAGCTCTGATTTGCAATGTTTTACCTTTGTTATTTTTAACTTAATATAGCTATGTTTAAGGGTATACCATGATACTCTTCATTTCTTCATTTATTTTACTTTCTAAACACTTTTGTATCAGTGTCTAAAATAGTTAGCATTGTGCTCTTGAGGCTAATGACCTTGTCTTCAAGAAGCATTGATTATTTCAATTTGAGATCTCTAAATTAATTACTATATGCCATCAAGTTTATGTTCAATTCTTACTGGCCATTTAGCCGGATTTTCTCAGAGATCTGCCCTCAGTTTGGCCCCTCAAGTCTTCCAATGGTACATTCATGAGTGCTATAACTGAGTCCACCATCTTGCTATAGGTTGTTCTCTTTTTCTTTTTCATTCCATGTGTTCCAGAATTATAGATTTCTCTAGTAAACTAGTGTTAAGACCCAGATGGTCAAGGCAATGCAGGCCTCTAAAGAGTTCTTTATTTCTTTTAAACAATGTTCCAGCCAATGGCTCTCTAACAACTGTAAGGCTCCACCCTCATACTACCCTGAAGGCAGCCACCCTCAGTCCCCCAAACAACAGCTCCTATAGTACAAATAAAGCCTTCAGAGTAGGAGCACGCTCACTGAGCAAGGTCCAGGATCCCAAGTCCAATCCACCAGGCAGAGTCCAGACACAAGACCAGGGCAATCCTCAGGACAAGAAACAGGTCCCAGAAAAGAAGCAATTCCAAAGCCCAAGTGAAGCAAAGGTCAAACATAGCCACCAGGGAAGGGAGAGGTCCAAAACAAAATGTGAAGTGCAATCTTCCAAGCTAGGCAAGGCAAACAGATACGAATAAAAGCCGGGGGAGTGTCTGAGATGGTATATGTTCTCCTGCTTGAGCAGGGGACTGGACTAGAAGACCTTCAAGGTCCCTTCCAGCTCTATTCTATTCCACATATAGGTTAAATAAAATGACAGTATAAAGTCTTGCCTCACCTCTTTGCCAACCTGGAGCCAATCTGTTTCACCATGTTTTGGCTGTATTGTAGCATCCTGGTTTGGCCCGTACCACATCATATACAATGTACTGGTTAGCCCTCAATATGCTGTAATTTTTCACAAATACAACTTTCAGAAACATTTTAAAGGCAACTCCACATAGATTGCAGTGCAGTAATCAAGATCAAATGTAATTAAGGCAGTTTAGGAAAAGTAACAACTGGTGACTTTGCACCTTAATGAGCAAAGACAGTCCTCATCATAGTTACAGTTTTCAAACCTTGTGTCAATTGAATTCCAGGAACATTTCCAGATGTAAATATGCTATTGAGGAGGAATGCAATCCCATCTAAATATTTCAGCCTCTCAGTCCATTTTCCTGGTTGTCATTAGCATAATTTCCTAACTTTATAAAAACTATTTTTACAATACTGCTACTGCACCCTTAACCCTGCATGACTAACATCACTCCAGGGGATAATTTGATTAGGGCCCTAGCTATTTGATTATATAATGATCTTGGCAATAAAAAGGGGACTTGATCTCCTTCCTCTATCTTTTTGTTTCTGTTTTGTCATACCATAAATTCTTATTCTTGGAATGGTTTTCATTCTATATATTTAATATTGGCTGTAGCTGAAATAAAGATTGACTAATTGATTGATCATTCTCACTGTCTTTTTCTGGAGTGTTTCAGGCTTAGCATTTTTGAATCTAGAAAATGGCATTGAGAGACCAAACCTTTTTAAATATATGAAACCCAACTGGGATAAGGTGAATTCATAAAAAATGGTTTGATCTTTTAATGGTAGACCATTGTTATTTAGGTATTCTTTCTTCTCTTTTTTATTTTATTTCATTTCCTTTATGTTTTGATCTTGCATATGTGATAAGCATGCATCAAAAACAAATATTCTTGGAAAGAATTTTTGCAGAATGTTTTAAGTTGCTGTGATAATTATCCAAAAATATTTTTAAAAATATGTCAAATAAACCAACGATATCTGTCTTTAAATGCTGCTTATGTTCAACATCGTAGTATTTTATTCACTGTATTTTTAAATATACAAGATATTGTTTTAATATGTGGTGTTTTTTTCTTTTTAACAGGTAGAATGGATAGAACAGCAAATTGTAAAAATAAGAAGAAAGAGAGATTACAAACCTGGTAGCATCCAATCCATGTTTTTTAATGATCCCAAATGGCAAAGTATGTGGTATATGGTAAGTCCATATAGGCTAATATTTGCACAGAAATCTGTCACATTAAACACACTTGTCTTCAGTGCAACTTGTTTAGTAAAAATAATAAATATTTGAAACCAAAACATTTAATGTTGCCAAAGTAAGATGTATTCTTATAGTTCTATAAATTAAATTTTATAATGGTAATTGGAAAAGATAATCTATTTTTTGAAAGTTATGTTTAATTAAATACAGTATATAGTTCTTTCATAATTTTTTTCTAGTATTGGAGTAAAAATATTAATGTGCTTTTTGTAATCATCATTTTCCTATAACTAAAATATTAATAGTAATTTGGGAAAAATATGAACTGAATCTGATGTAAATTATATTACTACAATAAACTTAATGTGAAGACATTCTAAAAACCTCTGTTGGCCAGAATGTGGCTTTATAAATATAAAAAATATAAGATCTAAAACCAAAGAAAGAAATCTGGAAAACACTACATGAAAGCCAAAGAAAGAAACCTCATTTGGAAGTATTCATAAAATCTTTTGTAATCTCAAGGATGGATGCATTTTAAATATCTATTTAATATTTCTAACGAAAATTGCATTTATTTGTTATAATACATTTTAAGTACTGCTTGTCTCAAAAAGGAATATACTTAATTTATCAAGTATTTTTCTATAGTAAATCTGGCAGCTAAGGACAAAAATTGAATTTGTTTCTTATATTAAAATATTTTTACATCCTGTGATAATGAATGAAGCTAAATTAAAGATTGTTATGTAATTTTTCCAATTTACTCAAAACCTTTTAAATCAAAATGAATAACAAAATGTGCATCATATTTAATTAATAGATACTTGTATTTAGTAGTTACTGATTCAATGTATTAAAAATACCCTTTATCTTGGCCTGAACTTATTTTGGAGAGTGGCTTGTGCTACCTTACGTGCATACATTCAAACATACACACACACATACACACAGATAGATTTATATGAATGTTCCATTTATTAAGCAGGGGTCAGGAGTTTCCAAACTGGTTTTAGATATAGTTGACAACCCTAGGTTGACAGGATGAGGAAGCTGGGAATTATATAGGATTTTTTTTGGTCCCTTCTTTCATTTTGCAGATATTATCTTAAATTCAATACCATTCTTTTGAATATAAGTATCACCATCTGATTATAGCTTTGCAGATGAATTAAGAAAGTTTCTCAAATGACCAAATCTAAATCTGGACTTTATTTGGTCCAGTACTGTTTGATTAGTTCTTGCAGTTTATGTTGTTTTTAGTAACTGGCCCCAAATCCCAAACTTGGAATATTGCTTGAATGCAAAAAGGGATTGGAAGAAAGGAAGCAAAAAAGCTCAGTGCTAATAAGAGAGAAGTTATATTTTTAAGTGTGGAACCTAATCCGGGTTTGAAGTTATAGCATGTTCTAATTTGGGTAGTACAGTTTTCGAAAGATAAAATATGTCATTTGAGGGATGCTTTGATATCTAGTGATGGATAATAGGCAACGTTGACAACTCAAAGTTTCATTGTACATGCATGTCTTCATGAAGGTATGATGTGCCTTTATATGGTTCTCCGGCTGTGACCTTCCGTGGAAAACTAGGATAAAGTCAAATCACTTCTCTGCATGTTGTTTCAGAATATTCTTTACATTATAACTGGTTCAGTTATGGCTCTTATTGTTCTATAAGAATTCCTTTCTAATTTCTCTACCTTCAAATTTTCTTGCGTTCTTTTTGTCCTTATGTCTTGATATTTTTAAATTCCATCATCTTTAGTGCCTGATGAATGGCTGATATGATGTATTTTAAATTCAGTGTAATATTTCAGCAAAGGGCTTCACAAATCTCAGTATTGCTATATAGAAATGCAAATATAATTGAATTCCTTTATTAACATTCTTTAATATATTCTTATTTATTCTAAAATATATCTCTCTCATTAAACTGTCAGAAAGAACTGAAGCCAAACAACAAATAAAAAGCAGTGGTTTTTCTTGTATCTTTGAATGAACAAGAATTAAGTATCCTTGATAGAATTAATAGTTATTCCCAGGGCTTTTTTTCTCGGAGAAAAGGTGGCGGAACTCAAACCTGGCCACGCCCTCATCAAACCCTAGGACCGCCCCTTTAGAGAACAGGAATGCAAGTAAAATTTGGGAGGGGCTATTTCCGGTGCGGCCGGCCCGGAAAAAGGTGCCGGAACGCGGTTCCGCCGCGTTCCGGCTGAAAAAAAGCCCTGGTTATTCCATAACAAAAGGTAATTGTGCATAAAAATAAGTAGAAAAATACAACAGTGTATCTTTTAGGATCTAGATTAATGAATAACTTGGCAATTATTACCTTTAACCCCAGAACAGCTCTACATTTACTGCTGAATTCTGATTTTGAAATTTCACACTTTCAAATTCTTTTCTCTTTGTAATTAGATCCTTTGTCCTACTTTTTACATTTTTTTTCTGCCACCCAATGACCTGAAATGCTTAAAAATCTTAAAAATTATCATTATTAGAGTTTTATCTTTTATTAAACTAAGGAGGTTAATCATTTCCTTGCTTCTTGTTTTGATAACTGTAATAAATATGATTGGTTCATATAGCTATATCATACTTTTACTTTTTTTTAAAGGAATCTTATTCATTTGAATATTTTTAGGATCAAACACGAAATAAGTTCCTCATTCAAATGAAAGGATTCTTAAGAGGGTTTTGAATGCAAGCTTATGTAGATCCTGCATTCAAATATACATGGCATTTTGCAATCCTAGTATTTCCTTCCTTCCTTAATATTTATAACCTGCCTTAGTTCTAACAAAATCTGGTTAAAGTACAACTATGTCAAGCTAAAATACAAAAACAAAAATAAAAGTTGCATGCGCATAGTTAAAGTAGTACAATCTCTATATATTTTCCTGAGGGGGACAATAGATAACCAGATGTTATCAGCATACGATCCTAGCCTCTAGTGCTATCATATTATATAGTATGGAGCCTCTGAGGCATTCCACACTGGATTTCCTAGGAGCTTGAGTGTTTAAAGCCCATGACCACTGATTAGAACCACCTACTACAATAAAAATAAAATCACTATAAGACAACGTCCCCATCTTGGAAGCCCTTCAGATGGTTCCAGAGATATGCCATGGTCCGTAGATTGGACATTTCCAATAGGTCCTTGAGGGATACACTCATTTTATCTGGGTCCTGAGGAAAGTCATTGACCAGAATTAGCAATGCCATTTTTATCCCATAACCAGGAAAAGATGAAAAAGATCCAGAAACTTTATTTCTGATATAGATAATTTACCATTATAATCTCAGCTACACTGGCCAGAAAGGGAAGTTGGGAACAAGGTAAACTTTATATATATAAACTTTGTAGAAAAGACTTATCTAAAGCAGATGGCACTTTAAAACAGCTTTCCAGAACTTTCAGTTGTGGTTGCTGAAAGCTCACCAAGCCATCCAAAGAAGCCAGGAAGCACATGACTTGATCTTGTAGATGGAATAATTCAGTCTGTCTACTTCTTCAGTTTTCACAAAGTCAAAATATTCCAGATTAGAACATAAAAAGCCACTTCTCTTACTCTGGCTGCTATCCAACCCAGAATGAATATAAGCAAATTTATTTGTTGTGCTACAGATATTTTATCCTATCCATTTTTCCCTTAAAAGATCTTGGCCCTGCTAAACAGTGATATTTAATAGGAAAGCACAGATGCAATCTTCCTGGAGAAGACTATACTTTTTCCTGATCTTTAGACATGAGTTCTTATCATCAGTTGTTTCCAGTGGTGGGATTTAGCCAGTTCACACCACTTCGGCAGAACCAGTAGCTATTGTTTTGTTGCCCAGGCCCAGAATGGACTTCCGGAAGCGGCATCCACACAGACAACCAGTTGTTCACATATCTGAATCCCACCACTGGTTGTTTCTACTACTTTTTTTTTGCGTTTGCTTATTTTAAATTGCTTCATATCCCTGCACTGCTCAGTACAGGTAATCCCCCAGGTACGAGTGTTTATTTAGCGAGTTTTCACAAAAACGAATTAATTCAGAAATTGCATTAGAAATTCAAAATTGCCAGCAAAAAGAGACCTTTTGTAGCCATGTGGCTTGATTTCAGTCTCTACTGCAGCAGCGGCCATTTTTATCTCTGTGACTTGCTTGGGCCATTCAGAGCTATGAGAAACCGGAAGGGTTTTGTTTTTGTTTTTTTGTCCCTGATCACTTGGCCAAACAAGAGCAGAGCCAGGACCAGTTTTTGCTTTTGCTGCAATCCGCTACTGCCTGGGCTCGAATGCTACAATTACTTCTGTAAGTTTTTTTAAAAAAAAAATAGTTTCCAAACACAATAGTTTGCAAAGTACAGTACTACAAAAGAAGAGAGTTCCAAAAGTTTGCAAGCAGTTTGGGAACAGCTCTGTTTTTTAAGTATTGTACTTTGCAAACTATTGTGGTTGCAAACTATTGAGCTTTTATTTTGGAAATTAGCATATATTACTGTAGTTTGTAGCTTTTAAATTTAAAATGCCTCCAGAAGTTGTGGGTGTCCCATCACTGGAAGCTTTTAAGAAGAGACTGGATAGGCATTTATCAGAAATACGCTCTTCTGAGAGCATGGGTTAGACTAGCGAACCTCAAGGTCTCTTCCATCTCTGTTACTATTGCAAGCTGAGAGTTCTGCAAATCCCTCCCCATTTCCCTGTGGGTGCCTGGCTGGCTCTTAAACTAGTGTTTTTTATTAAAGCAATGCCCCCCCCCTACTCTCTGGGCAGCTGAAGACGCTTGAGCTGGCTTGCAGCAGTTGTTGTTGTTGTTTTTTAAAAAAATAACTGTGGTGACTTGCAAGCCCTGCTTGGAGGCAATTTAGTTCCTGAGACAAGCTCACCGGAAACAGCTGATCGGCGGCTGGCAGGAAACCCTCCCAGTTCAGTTAATATGGCAGCTATCGGAGGAAATAGTAAGTCAGATCTTCGTTCATTTAACAACCCATTTGATTTAATTAAG